AATAGCCCAGGCTTCCCAACATCTGCAACAGGCGTTCTGTACCGTCCATGCAAGCCTCTTGGCTGTCTGCCACCACAAGTAGGTCATCCACATACTGTAAGAGACTCCTTTCCCCGATGCTGTCTGTCTCAGATGCCTCCGCCAGTCCTCTGGCTCTGCAGTGGCAGCCAGCAGGATCCTTGCCAGGTCCTTGCTCTGCCTCCTTTCTGCCTTTATCGTTTTGTTGTTGTTGTTTTTTTTTTTCTGAACTATCCCTATTATTGTACACTTTCTCGGCCACAGTTATTAAATCCCTTAAGCTCTTTTTACCCAGTCTCTCTACTCTTTGGAGCTTTTTACATCCAGAACCGACTGGTTAACAAAAGCGATGGCCACTGCCACTATATTATCTTTGGCCTCTGGGTCTAATGGAGTGTACCTGAGGAAGGCATCCATTATTCTCTCCAAGAATGCAGCTGGGCTTTCATTTAATTCCTGACTAATACTATATACTTTGCCAAATTAGTTGGCCTATGAGCAGCCGCTTTGGGACCTGCCAAGAGAGCCTGGCAGTAAACCAAGCCTCCCCTTACCTTCTGCAGTATTATAATCCCAATCAGGCCAGGTCAGTGGATAGGCAGCACCAATCAGTGTCAGGTCAGTAGTAGGGACACGAGTATTGCCAGGAATTAATTTCCTGGCTTCTGTTTGGATATGTTCCCTTTCCTCTGTGGTAAACAGGACCTGTAATAATTGATGACAATCATCCCAAGTGGGTTGATGTGTGAATAAGACAGTTTTCAATAAATTAATAAGACCCTTAAGATTTTTCAGAAAAGGGAGCAGTCTGGTTCTCCAGTTGTAAAGGTCACTAGTGGCGAATGGCCAATAGTGATGAGACTAGTTGCCAGCCTCATCCGTGGGGCTGGCAACTCTGAGGGGCAGAACAGTAGAGTCTGGACCCTCCAGTGTTGCTGCCCTTCTACTCCTAGTCCCCTGAGCCGGTCCCCCCATGCCTGTGAAGAATCTGGTACCAGGGGTGCTGGTTCCGGAGGGGATACTTCCTGTGGAGGAGGTGGATAAGGAGGGGGAGGAAAAACTAGATCTTCTTCTGTGCTGCCCTGTAAGACAGGGTACAGTGATGGTAGTGATGGTTTGGTTTCAAGCTTAGGTGCTTTCTGGGTTGTCGTTTTCCATTCTGCAGCTGTCAGCACCTCAGTTTTCTGTAAAGGAAGAAAAGACTTGACCCAAGGAGGGGGGTTATTAACTAAGTCTCCCCCGACCATTATGTATGATATTTGATCCAAGTTTCCCACACGTGGTTGAAGAATAATTTTCTCAACAGCGTTAATGACAGCAGGATCAAAGGTCCCCTCTGAGGGCCATCCCACATTGAAAGTGGGCCATTCAGACCTGCAGAAAATAGTTTATTCTTCCTAACAACAACAGAGAGGTTATGGGCTCGAGTCTTAACCTCTCCAAAATGTGCAAGAACCAGGTACAGGGGTGTAGAGGGAGTCTGTCCCGTTGCGTCCGTCTCAGTCACAGAGGAATAGACAACGAAAGACAAAACAGAGAGCCAGAAAGACACACAGAAGGCCAAGTAGCAAAGTTCCCCGCTCGTGTGGAAGAAAAACTGAAAGCAGGACAGTGGCGAATTGCCACGCCTCGGGAGCGACGCACCTTGTCCTTTCACAGAAATCAAGAGTCCGGGGTCCTCCATCCCCTCTGCCAGGGTCTGGAACGTCTTCCAGACCTCTGTGGTCACGGTCATCCAGCGCGTCCAACTGCTCCAACCGCTCCTGACCACACTGTTCACAAGTTTTCCTCGAGGCTCAGAACAAAAGCTAGGACAGACACAGGTACAACTAGAAACAGACACTTACCAGCCAGCCAGGAACCCTTCAATTCAGGGGTCCTGGGGGTCTTGGGGATCCCGGATGATCCCCCAAGATGTTGTGCCCAGTTCACAAGACCCCAAAGACCACCAAGGAGCCAACTGATGCAAACACACAAGGTTTTTTTTAATGTTGCAAGCTTAAGCTTGGACCCACTCTGTCACTGACCCAGCGGATCTCAGATGTGAGATCCCTTGTTTTGGGAGACAGAGGTTTTTATAGGTTTATTTCAGCAAGTTCAGCAAGTAGGGGAATAGGGGGTCTCCAGCCTGTCAAGCTTCTGATTGGTTGCAGCCCAGTGCCAAACCATAAACTGCTGGCTTCAGGAAATCTGAAAAGACATCTGGACTTTTAGTACTTTCCTGTCCCTGGTTAATTGACTGTTGGTGGGGGAGTTGTTCTCTATCTGTTCCAAGTATAGATTTTTTGTGTGGTTTCTCGGGGCTGGGTCAGTCCCATGGAGGTTTTATCCAAGATGGAGTCACTTGGGTCTCTCAAGTACATGTCTTGCCATGTCAGCCAGTCTGACTTGGAGCTCACCATGTAGTCCATGCTGGTTTTGAACTTACAGTAGCCTCCTGCCTCTACTTCTTAAGAACTGAGATGGTAAGTATACGCCACTACACACAGTGAGTTAGGTTATCTTGAAAGCTTTTTTCCCCTGGACCTCAGTGTCCTCACTGGTAAAATTAAAGTTAGCATCAGACTGGAAGTAATTTTCAGTGATGATGCTGTATAATTACAGATTGAAAATTTGTTGAAATATAGTGTTACAGTGTACAGTTCATAGGGTTTCATAGGCATATATATTAACTCTGATGAACTAGAACAAGAAATTCTACCAATGTGGGTTATTTTATTTTTTTAATTATTGTGTCTATTCTTATAAAGATTGAATTATAGTAGAAATAATCATCAACCTTTTCATAGATTCAAGTGTTAATTTGGATTTACTCAGTCCTTATAATCCCTAATACAATACATTTCATCATTATAATTAATCTTTCAATGCCAGACAGGCATAGGTTCAAACTTCCTTATGAAGCCATCTTCCTATGAGAGAACAAACTGACCACTTTAAAAATCAGTGGAGACCCAGTTAGCTGAAAGAAGGAAAAACGTATTTAATACAAACAGATAATCTTCCCTCCATTTTCACTATACATGTTCATTTCATCTGTAGCATTGTTCTCTAGACTGAGTCCAGACTCCTTGAGAAACATTTTCTGATGGAGGTAGAGTTTGAGATACATATCTGAGTTTCATTTTTTTGCAGTCACATATTAAGAACTAAAAAAGAAAAAGGTTTAAAATGATTTAAAAATATCTCTAATTCAAGCCAGGTGTGGTGGTGCACGCCTTTAATCCCAACACTCAGGAGGCAGAGGCAGGGGAATATCTATAAGATCAAGGTCTGCACAGTGAGTTCCAGGCCAGCTGGGGCTACAGGGAAGCCCTGTCTCAAAACAAAAAAAAAAAAATTTTTTTTTAATTTCTAATTCAATGTTTATTTAATATGTAAATATTTCAGTGTGTAGAAAGTAGGATATTGTGAATGGTATATGTTCTACCATTTTGTATATCAGCTCTTGGAAATCCAACGAGCATTTTCATCTTCACTCAGATGAGCTACAGTCCAGTTGCTTATTGGTGATACACTCTAAAAGAAAGGAACTCTCTCTTTTTCAGTATGGCCACATTTGGGAGGAACAGAAAAAGGAGTTCAGTGCCACCAAGTCCGCAGGCTACATAGTCTTAAAGCTTGTTTTCCACACTAACTTTATGTGTATAATAATTGCCCTGTGTGTGCACACCTGTATGGGTGCATTTGCATGTGTAGCCATGTGGGTAGAGGCTAGAGGACTACCTTAGGTGTTGTTCCTCAGGTTCTGCCCACTTTGTTTTCTGAGACAGTCTCTCACTGGCTTAGGACTCATTCAGCTAGGCTGGCTGGCCAGTGAGCCCCAGGAGCTTGCCTTTCCCTGCTTCCCCAGTGCTGGGGTGACAAGGGCATGTCACCATGGCCAGCTGTTTTACATGGGTTCTGGGGATCAAACTCAGTTCCCCATGCTTGCCCTGCACGTACTTGGTCAATTGAGCCATCTTTCCAGTCTTCTACACAAACTTTTAAAATGAAATTCAATTTGCATACCACCTTGTAGAACTTTAAGTTCTAGCCAGCAACTATTTAAAAGGTTAAGAACTTTATCCATTTTAAAATTAACTCCTCTGTGTGTGTGCATGAAGACGCACGTGGAGGTAAGAGGTCGATGTCAGATGTCTTTATCGTGCTCTACCTTATTTTTGAGATAGGGTCCCTCATTGAACCTGGAGATCACTGATTCAGCAAGAGTAGGTCCCAGCAAACTCTAGGGATTCTCGTCTCCACTTCCCCAGTGCACAGATGACAGGCATATGCTTTTGTACCTGTTTTTTTTTTTTACAAGAGCGCTGGGGATTCAAACTCAGGTTCTTATTCTTGTGTAGCAAGCACTTTACTACGTCATTTCCCCGGCTCTGAAAAATTAACCTTAAAAATTACTGGGTACTCAGTGGTAATGTATGTGTGGGGGTGGGACGTGTACGGCTGATGCAAAGTTCCCCTCTCTGTTACTTTGTTCTCTGCTCCCCATCAGTCAAATGTCCTGTTATCTGCCTCTGAAGAGCAAGTTCCAACAATGTCAGTATTGTTGAACTCAGAAATAACGAACAGGGTGGTTGACTTTGCGTCCAGAGTTCTCCAGAGGTGACGGGATATTCAGCTGTAGAAGAGCCTGCCATTTGCAGCATCAGCGGCCCCTAAAGAATCACCCTTCAGCCCTGGAACCAAAAAAGGGAGAAAGGCACTTTGAAGTAAAGGCTAGCTTTCCTCTGGCACAGGCAGCGGGAGGCCTAGAACACCCGCAGGAGTGAAAGGCACTTTGAAGTAAAGGCTAGCTTTCCTCTGGCACAGGCAGCGGGAAGCCTAGAACACCCGCAGGAGGCGTGGCCGCAGACCAGGAAGCGGGGCACCGGGCGAACTGGGACCCCACGGCGAAGCAGGGGCGGAGCTCCGGTGAGGAGATGGGCATGACGGCTGTCAGCAGCGCCAAGCGAAAACTGCAGGCCGAGCTGAAGCAGCGTCTACGGGCCTTGAACACCGAGGAGCGCCAGTCCCGCCTCCTTATCCAGAAGGTGAGAGGCTGCGGGGAGTAACAGCCGGGGCCTGGGCCGGGGAATCTGCGCAGGCGCAGCTCCCCACGCGTGCGTACACGTTCTCCCGGGGCGTGCACGTAATCTGCGCGCACAGGACTGTCCTGTGTGGGCTCCATACCTTGGGCAGGGGCATGTCTGTCAGGGTGGAGCTCCGGAGGGAGGCTCAGAGGTGCGAATTTGCTCCTTCCAAGGGAACTGTCTTTCCCGCTGTGGGGAAAGGCGTTGCTGCGAGCTTAGCGAGGGGGTTGGGCGTGGGGGTGTTGAACTCTGCCCTTAGACGCAGCTTTAATTAGTTCACACGTTTACAGTAACCGTGCATTTGCTTCCTGTTGGATTGTAGGGTAGGAAAGGTGATTGTTGCTCCTAAAGGAGCAGAGGCTGTAGAAGACAACAGATGGATAAAAAGATTACAAGCTGGGGATAAGGCTCAGTGGTAGAGTACTTGCTAGCATGGGTCCTCCTCTCAAACACACACGGTGGGGGCGGGGGCGTGTTGTAATGTAGTTAGTATGATAAACTGTAGGTGTGGAACACATAACCTGGGGGAAGGAGAATTAGAAAACAGTTTATAACATGTTTTGAGCCTTGCACGGTGACCCATTAACTGGAACTCAGACTTTACAAGTACCATAGGAGCCTGGAGACTTTGAGGTCATCTTCATGGCCAGGAATTTGAGGCCTGCCTTAGCTACAACAGAAAACAAACACGAAGACACAAAGGGTGTTTGAGATAAGTTTTGCAGTGCAGGAGGAATTTTGTTAGGTAAGGGAAGAAATGAGGCTGGTGACCTGCACAGGACAGGGTGTTTTTAACATGGACTTTAGAATGACATAGATCTGGATTTAAACTGGTTCTGCTATTTTAAAAACTGTTAACAACCCTTATGAGCCTATGTGAGAGTTAAAGTGATGTATAAAATGGTGTAATTCCGTATGAGATGGTTTCACTGTGTAGCCCAGGATGGCCTTACAATCACAGTTCTCCTGCCCAGCTTTCTGAGGTCTGGGGTTACAGGTGCGTATCACCAGATCCAGCTGTTTGTGTATTTTTGATATGTCCTTCAGGGAAATGGGAGAGAAACAGGAAAGCAAGATCAAAAAAGGGAGAAAGTGGGGGAGGGAGAGAGAATATGAATACATGAGAATTAAGAGGCTGTTGTGATATTCAGATGGATGTAAATAAAGACTTAAACCAGAGAATGGACAATGAAAACGGGGGTCAAAGGAGGTAAGGAGAGGCTTGGTAACTTACTGAATGGAGGTTAGAGAGTATTAGTAGGACAGCATCACCTATGAGTCTAATATTTAGAGTTTGGGATAATGGTACTCAATATTACTAAGCATAAGGAACATAGAGGTTGGAGCATACTGTGGAAGGGTATGGGAGGTGAATACAGATGAGAGCAGTTTGGTTTCTCTGGTCATTTTTTTAAAAACGGAGTCTCACTATGTTGTCCAGGCTATTTCAGGCAATCCTCCTGTCTTGGCCTCTCAAATAATGACTGTACAGGATTACAATGAATAAAACCCAGGTGGGAATAGTAGCTAATATAGAGACAGACATATGACAGCAATATACTGACAGCTAAGAGCTGACTTCAAAGGGAGAAAGAGAAAGAAAGCAGATTCATTCTCAGTGATGTTTTATTGGATCCCAACTCACACAATGAATGTATTTCACAACTGAGTATATGCCATCAAGTCTTATGTTTTCTGTTACTTTTCATTTTAAATTACTGATTATAATTCACTACTCATTCATTGACCCAAAGGAGAATCCAGGCCCCAAGGATCAGTGCATAGTAATTACTCCTGTGCTTCGCCATAGGGATTATTAGTAAAGGTATTCAGTGACATCTTTCTGCAACTACTAAAAACAAATTCTTTTTGCATAGCACAGGGTCTCACTGTGTAGCCCTGGCTGGTCTGGAGCTCAGCAGGGATCCACCTGCCTCTCCATCCTGAGTGCTACACCACCATGCCCAGCCACAGTACCATTTTTATCATTTAGAAAAAGTTCAGCCTTATGACATACCTTGACTCGTTAATTGAGGTGAGGAAATTAGTGCTCCTTTACTCACCTTTCATTCTATCTGTTACTTTCTGACACCTTTCTATATCAAAGTTGTGTTTAAATTCTGACCTGTATATAATGAGTCTGCTGACCAGTATTTGTGACCCATTTCCAAGTTTGAAATTCCAGTAAAGAATACTTAGAGAATTTTTAAAAATAAACTTTATTTTTTTATGTGTATAAGTGTATTGCCTGCATGTAGGTAGATGCACTGTGTCGTGCAGTGCCAGAAGAGGTCAGAGGAAGGCGTCAGATCCCCTGGACCTGGAGTTATGAACAGTTGTTAACTGCCATGTCAGTACTTGGAATCAAACCTGGGGTCCTCTGCAAGAGCAGCCAGTGCTCTTAATGCTGAGCCATCCCTCCAGCCCCACTTACAGCATTTTTGTTATAGAGATCGTATTCACTGCCAAAGCCAAATTATATGACTGAATATGTAAGAAGAGCACAAATGATTTTATGTCGCTAGCTATGTGTGGCTAGGAGAGCGTTGTCTCATGTCTTTTACCCTACACTTGCTCAAAATCATACCATATTTTATTTGTTTATATTTGGAACATGTTCCGAATTTAGGTCTTTGCTTTTTCAAGTCTTTTTTAAAAATCTACCTTTACTTCTAGTTTTTGCAGAAGTAGAGTCAACTTATCTGTCAGTAGATTATTTTTCACCTTGCCTGTTAAAATACATCCTTGCAGCCACTGCCTTGGAGTTCCTGCCTCTGTGTTAGGGCTGTTTCTTGCATCATAGTTGTCTTTCTTCCATACTTTTACTACTCAACTTACTGGATGTCGTCAGCTAAATTATTTTAAAGACAGTTCTATGTGATTGGGTTAAACTGTCGTATTTTGCACATTAAACTATTTAATCTCACATTTGACTGATAATTTGAATTCAAGGTTTAAAGTATTTTTCTTATACTGCTCAATACCTAGTCATCCAGTCTAAAGACGGATTACTTTACCTATTATATCCTGATTATTAGTTTTCCTGAGTGTTTTTGTGGAAATCTTGTTAATTAGATAATAAAAATTCTAGGTTGACCTATGCTTTTTAACATTCTTCCTCGTTTTTTCCTATTTTTCTTCTGCTACTGAAAGACTTTCTCCTAAATTGTTTTCTTTTTGGTAATCACAGTTTTAATTCCAAATGATTATTTCTTACATCTCTAATTGCATCCTCTCCCTAGCAATCTATTGTTGTTTTATAGATTGAATTATTGTTTTTAGCTTATCTGAGAAAACTAATTAGAATCTCAAAATAGTCTGTTTTATGAATTATCTGTTTCACATTGAGTCATTTTTTCTCCCATTTTTACTTTTTAAAATATGCATTTTATATTTTAGTGTTTCAAACTGTTTGATAAGCATCAATTGGCTATGCATATTTACACTTTCGCTGGCATTGAACCCCGGACCTTGTACATGATAGTCAAGCCTTCTACCAACAAGTGACATTCTCAGACCTTATTTTCTGTGCATTGTTTGTGAATGAAAGTGCATTAGCAATAAGATTTCCTCTGCCTTTTGTAGACACTGGTTGGACATTTAAGCAAAGAATAGATTCTGTACATGTCCTGTGTCCATGTTTTAGTGCAGCTTTAGCTAGAAGTACTGTACTGTCTCCTCCCTCTGACAGGAATTAGTCAAATTTCTGCTTTTTTTTTTTTTTTTTTACCCTCACTGCTATAATGTATTTCCCTTCTTCTCACTTCTTTACAAATAGAAAGTAACTAGGACTGGGGGAAGATAAAAGCATAGGCACAGCCTCGCACTGAATTTTATCTGGTATCTCTTCCTGTTTATTCCGCTCTTGACTTTCTATATTCTGCTTTAAAGAGACTGAGAAAGACACTTGCTCATCTAGTGTCTGGGTGTCAAAGCTTCAGGCCTGCCCCAAATCTGGGTTTCAGTTTTTCGTTTGCTTTGCCTACGCCAGGCCTCACGACAGCTTTTACAGCTTTTCAGAAGACAGGAGATAACTTTCTTCTTTAGCCCTGGTTTGATATGCTCTGCTTAATTTCTCTTTCCCTTTGTGTTTGTACCCAACGTTAACTTGGCCTTCTATACCTGTATCTCTGTCTCTCTGCCAGTCATATTTGTAAGATGCTTTTGAATTACGCTCGTCTAAGGTTGGTGGATAGGTGGGAACAGAAAAGGAATGTAGGGGGAAAAGGGAGGTAAAGGGCTAACTTCTGAGTCTGGGTAAGTTCCCGAGATTTTATGATAAGTAAACCTAACTCCTTTCTGCTTGATGAATGATTCAATAAAATATGGATTTTTGCTCCAGAAACATGCCCCCCAACCCCCTCCCAGTTTAGTGAATTTTTTTGAAGACTTGATCAAACAGAATGGGATTGGTGATAAGCTGAGACAATTACAAGGCATGTTCTCTGCAGGGATCTTTGGGACTGGCTCAGAATCCTGCATGTAGAACAACACACAAACCATGAGGAATTAACTCAAGACACTTTACATGCAGAGTGAAGTGCTGTGTATTCACTCCAAATGTAGTAAAGATTCTGCAGAGGTAATAAAGTTAGGGCTTGAGTTGGGCTTCATTGGGTAAATTTAGGGATAAAGGCCCAATAATCCAAGGAGTAGAAGTTTTTGAGAGCCAAAGTTCAGAGAGAAAATAAACCAAAGACCCTGGAGGAAGTCTGTGAGATGACTACACTACTAAAGTGGGTAGGTGAGGATCAAGTCCTGGAATTCTGACGATGGACAGCTCGTCTCTTTTGTGACTTTTTAATGAGTTTCCATACCTACCAGAGTTAATGTACCAGAGGTAAAGGGGTCATACATGCAAGTCTTGCTTCCTGAACTAAAAGCTAGGCATCAGGACTTAACCATTGTCTAATTCACTGTGCCACTTTGCTTGGAGAAGGCTGAGAGAAAAGGGAGAAATT